TTCTGCGTTTCTCGTTCGAACACATTATTAGTGGGGAGATACCTTTGCGTCTCCCCACTAATAATTCTGCTCGTAGCTCGGCGTCCTCCCCGCCATCGGTTTCTCGCCGTATGCACTCACGGACTTGTGAGAGTCCATAGTCACTAGGAGTGTAAGAAACACAGGGCGCCATGAGCGCCTTATTATCGCTCCTCAACCAACGAGGTTGCTGTATTAGCCGACCACAACGCCGTATCACGAAGCGGGAGCATGATAGGCCGCTCCCCACCCGTTTTTAGTCAGGCTTTTCTCCAGAGAAGTAATATCAAGTGTTTAACCCTTTGATGCCCGGCGTCGCCCAGGAGCCATGACTCAAGAATGATTTATTTTCTTCGGCGACACGTGCGCCTCAATAAATGTACACCACCCTCTGACGCGGGAGCAAGCTATAGTTGCACTTAGCAGTGGAGCGTCGCAATGCATATTCAAAACAGATCGCTCGTCCTTTCAAACTAAAACCGACAGTGGACACAAGATATGGCGGTGTGCACGACTGATTTCGAAACTTTGAGAAGGAAAACGGCCGCAAATATTGAAATTCCTGTTACAACTTTTCTAGTGTATGACATTCGAAATGCATCCGTGCCTTCTCCCAGATCGTAACTGCCCTCTCTCTTCTTCTGCTTAAAGTAGTACTGCAAATGTCCAATGTTAGTCACGAGCAACATTAAAAAAAGAAAAAAAAAACACGTTAAGGAAAAAAGGTGAATTGGCAGATGCCTGTTATTCTGCGTGTTCTAAAATCACTTGAAGTTTTGAAGGTCTGCGGTATTACAAGTAAGGTTTTTGGGCATGAAAAGGTACATTTTCATATAATTGTATGTCTAGTCATTCGCTCGTGTTTATATGTGTAATTGAGGAGATGGAGAACTTAGTTCTGTATTTAGACACCGGCTATTTCAAGAAAAATGTGGGGATGTGAGCTGAAGCATGAACACCTGAAAATTTAAATAATAATAGTAATATCTTTATTAGCTTTGAAAAAAATACAGGTGTAAGCGTGCTGGCCCACGAAAGCAAAGATGCTTGTATGTGGGACCAGGCAGCCAACAAAATACCGTGACACATTGAACACTGGAGAAACAAAACAAACAAACAACAGCAATGTAGGCATTTGGGCAACGAATACGCACTAAGTAATTATTTAATTATTATTGCGCGAGCGTGAGGCACCATTCTCTTACATTTCGTTTTACCGCACGAAAGGATGACAAGTTCAGCAAAGATTCTGGCAAACAGTTGAACATCGAAGGGACATAGTGTCGTTTTAACTTTTTTCCATAGTTTGTTTGTATCTTAGGGATCTTGAACCTATCTGTACGCCGCAAGTTTCTTTATTTTTACCTCTTGTTTAAATGTTCTACTATAATAATTACTTGTTATTATCACATATTTATGAAACTGATTAAATGACAATACTTTAAACGCGCGCATTTTTTCTTCAATGTCTAGTTTATCGAACACTGACCCGTAAGAAATATTGTTTACACTATATTTTATGATTCTATCAATTCCCTGTTTTTTGTACTCTGAACAATTCCCATATATCGTAATCCCATACCGTATAACAGATTCTCCTAGCGATCTGAAAGTAGTTCTCCGCAAGTTTACAGAACATACACTTTTTAGCTTGTAAAAGTAAGCCGATACCACCCGCATTCTCTTAATAATATATTCGATTTGTTGGTTCCAAAGGAGATGTTGGTCAAATATTAACCCCAAATATTTAACCGAGGAGTCATAAGGTAATGGTCTACACGTACAAATGTGTTGAGCATTATATATTATATTGTATACACGACACTTCTAGTGCGAATAAAACTGTTTTCTTTGCTCTTTGTTTCTCAGTATGGAAGAACTGTTATCAAAACTATACTCTAGCGATGGAAAGTGCTCAGTCAGGGTGGCAACCCTATGTGTTACATTTTGATGGCCCCGAGTGCTCTCTCGAAGTAAAATTTCAAAGTGTGTCGTGTTCGGCTAACCGTGCCGTGCAGTGTACGTGTCTTGCGAAACGACAGTGGATATAATAATATAACCGAACATTCGTAGTGTCATCATGTAGTGCGTAAATATATCTAAGAGTGCGCGAGCCGACAAATGTTTCCGAATCTCCCGCTCGCACGTTAAAACTTTAACTGCTGCGACCGCCTTATCAGACACTTCAGTGACCCAAATTCCAAATGCGCAGTTGGAACATCAACGATGTATTTGTCGAGCGTTCCAAAACACATTGAATGTTCAGCTCATATCGCCTGTCTGGACACTTTGTCGCTGCCCGGCGCGGAGAAACCGTTTGCACTTCTTTCCGCACCCTCTCCGAGAAAGGAGACGTGATGGGCGTACCCCTCGATGGGGCATCGCCCGGCGCTCCGCCGCCTCCAAGACAAGGAACGTCGGCCACCGCTGCGTTTTATGGCCCTTCCGTCGCCGCAATCTCCGTGGAGTGGCGCGGCGTGTGCCACCTAATTGCTGAAAAGAGACGTAACGGATACGCTGTCAGATAAACCTCGTATTTTGTTTGCGGTCAGTTTGTTCTTAACGTTTCCGGAGCTTATGGGCGCAAGATGGCGCCTAACGAAATGGTAGTTTTGTTTTTATCTCATTGACAGTTTTGGGAGATATCGGGTTGCGGCGCTTCGTTACTCAGTCATTTGCCATCTTCGAGCATTTTGTCGCAGGAATTGCGGGATGCTCAATTGTTTCCGTTTCTAGAACATAACGGTTACTCGAAAGCAGGTCTTTCCTTTTCCGCACGCCCTCTTTCTACAAAATTCCTCCAGGGTCAATAGACCTTCTGCAAAGCGTGCAGCGTTTTCCCCTGTGCCGAAAGGAATGCCGGGAGCGGTATCTACAGAACCAGTCGTATCAAACGACGGAGGCGAGGGAGGAAACGCGGGCGAGCGGGGGAACGCAGGCTGGCAACTGCGGAATCCTTTTTCGTACTTTTCGGTGACACGTGGGATATGCTGCGAGGGCAAAGAGGAGTGTACAAGATATAGCGCGCTGCTTATTGGTATTTTCTTTTAGCATGTTGTCGTGTAACCATTCACAAGGAAACGCGTTACTTGTAACGCGTCAGGTACTACACTCTTAAAAAAAAAGGAGTAGTACTTCGTCCTTTTTGGGGACTAAGTCGATGTCACTGAGAGTGATCCCCCAAAAACGGCAAAACCCCGCTTTAGTACCTCCCTTTCTTTTAGTCCCTTTCCATTGATCCCTTCAGGTCCAAATTTTGAACCGTTAAAAGGAGCGATTTTGATCCCTACAGCAGGGCATCAGGGACTAAGTCTTATCTCTTTAGGGGATTAATTATGGTCCCTTGAGCGCCGTCGCGTCCATAATTGGAGGAGCACCTTTGATCCCTTTGGGGATGATTGGGGACTAACATTTTTGTGATTGGGGACTAAAATTCGTCCCTTTGGGGATTAATTTTGCCACGTAAAGGGATGACACTTATAGTTATGAGGGAGTAACTTTCGTCCCCTTGGGGATCAATTTTACAGTAATGGGGGACTAAATTTCGTCCCTTTGAGGATCAATTTTGACCCTATTAGAGACGAATTTTACAGTAATAAGGGAGTAACTTTCGTCCCTTTGTGGACGAATTTTGACACTTTTAGAGACGAATTTATTAGTAGCGATGCCCTTCAGCTGCGACCAGGAGTGAAAGGTTTGCAGTTTTGAACAGCTTCCTATTCAGAAAAGGTAGATTGTGCAACTTGGTATCTCGTCTGAAAAGTTGCACAAAGCGCCTTTTCAGAACAGAAAGGTAGTCAATACTGCAGACCTTTCACTCCCATGCACAGCTAAAAGGTGGAAATATTGCAGAGCATCTGAAAAGTCTCGCACCTTTATTTGGAAAAAGCAAGCCGCGTTGCCAAACAAGCAGCAAGCATCATGTCCAACAATAATTTAAATGGTAACGATGCCTGCAAAGACTGGATATGCTCGAACTCTCAGGCATGCTTTAACAGGCAACATCACCATTTTTACGAAAAAAAGCCAGACCAGGAATCTGTAGACAAAAATTCACTTTCATTGTGGAAATATATTTATTTTATAACTACAAAACACTGAAAATAAAAACAATTGCACATCACAAGTATACAAAAGGAAATACTGCCATCTTGGCACTGAACCCTTTGTCAAGATTTAACACGACTAGCATATTGCAACGTTTAGCATGACTAGCAAAACTCGGTAAAAAAAACCATTTCAATGTCCGTTTTGTTCCTTGTGTAATGAAAAGGACTAAAATCAAATACCTTATTAAAAAAAAGAAAAAAAAGCTCCCATTATAAAATGAGGCAGCAAAATGACTAGCATATTTATATATAAAAAAAAACCTGGCATGGGTTTGTTACTTTGAGGAATATATGTGCTAAAGAGTGACCCAAAGTCCCCAGGCTCTATCTAAAATCGACTAAAAATCTATGCCCGCACATAGCACTGAACTTTTCGTCAAAGGTGCATTTCGCAAGTTGTTTTTCTTGTAAAATTACGAAGTGCAGCTCTCTCTGTAAAAACATAGGGTGAAGAAACTTAACAGGGTCTACAGCCGGCGGCGACGCAGACGACCAAGTCCAATGGCGGACAGTGTTTGGCGCTCGTATTGCTAGATGGCGTCGGGAGCAGCTTCAGAAGGTGCACCCGTTCAGCTGAAGAAAGCAGACGAAATCTGTTGGCAGCAAAAGCGCCGACGTATCTTTTTACTTGTAAGTTTTGCTTTTATTGTTTGCATGTATTTTTCTTTAACCAAAGGAACATTTCAATAAGCAGTTGCGGTGAGGAGGTAGCGCCATCTACAAAACAATGCGAAACATACCCCGCTACTGGACTTTGTCGTTTGCCTTGTTGCCCGCCGTAGACCCTGTCAAGTTTCTTGGCTCCATTTTTTATAGAAAGAGCTACGCTTTGCAATTATACAAGAAAAAAAACAAAGTGCGAAATACACTTGACGAAAAAGTTTTGATTGCTACGTGAAGGAATCGATTTTTACGGTCCATTTTAGAGCCTGGCGACTAGGGTCACCCTATATTTATATAAAAAAAACCTGGCATAGGTTTTTGACCTTCAAGAATAGATGTGCTGAAGAAACTAAAAATAAAATGCATTCCTTCAATGCATTACACAAGCACAGAAAAACTTGTTTAGCAACATGTGAAAAAAAAAAGCCCCCAAAAAAAGAAAGGAAAAAACCTTAGTTTTATGTTCTTTTTGAACTCAGGGCAGTGAGCAGCCTTGTGCCCATGCAGCCCAGCTTTGAGTGTTTCAGACCTGCAAGTCTTTCGAAACAAACAAATGTACGACGACACTTAACGAAGTACTGAAGGTCAAAAACCCATGCCAGGCAAAAACAAAGTGCTACAGCTTCCAGAGGGCCCTCTGCCTCATAGGCCTGGTTTTCAAAAAGCACACTGCAGCGCTCTGTTGATGTCGTGGGGCACACTGCGATGGGATAGACTGCGGGGCAAGTCTGAAACAAAGATTCAAAATAAAGACAAATTGTATAAAGTCAGTTTTTTCTTGTTTTCACCATTGTTTTGCTGATTTTCTTTGTTGCCAGCTACAGTGGCTGGCCCAAAATATAGACAGTATCAACCCCCCCCCCCCCCCCCCCCCACCCCGAGTATCAACTACTAGGCGGTGTGCCACCCCTCTTCTGGCCACAGCACCCTAAAGTTTGACTTTTACAAGTAGAAGTTCGGTTCAGTGTCTCAAATGTCACCGAAGGCAACGTGTTTGTGCCATCTGGTTGCCGCCCTTCCGAATGAGGTAGCGTTCAAAGTTTACGGCATTCTTTAGAATCCGCCTTCGGCCACTGTATGAAGCACTTAAAGCTCCCATCCTTGAAGGAATGACGGTCTCAGAAGGCAAGCATTGCAGCAGCTGCATCCAGCAGATCAGCAACGTCAAGACCAATGTATTCCATTTTGCACATGCTGGCTGGCGTTTGGCACACGCTCTTCGTACTAACTGATCGCCGCTTCCACAAAGACAACCAGCACCCGTGAAATATTTCTGCTTTTGCTGAAAATGATGTTATGCTCTATATGTAGAAATACTTCACTGAAGCTTCATATATTGTCCCCCTTCAACTAAGAACTGAACAAAGCATGAATCTAGTCAAACCCGCTAGGAACTTAAAAAAAGAAATTTTACTGTGAGATTTAGCTTGTGAAGAGCCCAGAAAAAGCTGTTTGTTATGAAATGGCAGCTACCACTGAAAACAACCAAGAGGTTCTATTCAGAAATGACAGCTGACATCTCTTGTAAGTGGCTAAAAGAATATATGACAGGTCATTAGACCAGTGAGACTTGATCTAAAATAGGCCTGAAAAATTAGCCCCTACATGTAACAACCAAGTTTCAACATTCACTAAAGATGTTTTACTGCCGAATGTCCGACCGATGCAGGCGATAGAGATAACCAAGGGTGATGTTTGTGGTGCGATCTCCCGATAGGCACACCAAGCAGACAATAGCACTCGCTGGATTTACTCTCATAATGACTGCACCCAGGGGCAGGTGCAGGAATTTCCTGAGTGGGGGGGGTCAGGTGTTGGTCAGCGTACCATATGTTTAGGAACCCTCTTCCTCTCTCCTTGTTTCACGCCCTAAATTTTACACATTCAGAAATCAAGAGGGAAGTCAGGACATTCGGACCCCCCCCCCCCCCCCTCAAAATCCGCCCCTGACTGCACCCCCAACAGGCATCAATATATGGACTTATTTTTAGTTTTGAACTGCGTCCAACTTAGCCGGCTAGCCACCAAGACAGCCGAAATCATGGCAGTCTTGTTGCCTACAAATTTTTTTTAGTCATGCTGTATATAGTCTAAAATGACGAAAATGTCTAAACTTACTTCGCATGTGATGAAGGAATTGTGCGTTTCTTTCAGCAGGAGTGGAAACAAACAGAAGAAGATCAGACAGTTCAGTTCTGAAAAATAATAATGGCAAAGTTAGCTATTTCAGGCAACTAACACTTCCAACTTGCATCCCCCAAATTTTTAATATTTATCAGTGGTCAACCCGAACTTTCTTTTTTCCTTTTTGAATGAGGAAAGTTCATTCGTTGATATTCTCACACCAACACCCACCACCTAGTCATGCCACTGTAGTAAATTGCAGCGTAATACACCGAGACCGATCTTTGTGGACCGCTTGAAGTGGGTTGCATGAAAAAAACTTTAGATGCTCAAGTTACTGCGAACTTGTGAGAATGGCAAAGTATCAGTTTCAAAAGCCCAGTCCCCAATACGCTATCTATGCCTTCTGGCGCGCTTTGGCGACACATGAACGCGCATGGTGCATGAAATGCCCAGATGTTATCAAAGCTAGGAAGTTCACGCTGGAGGCGGGACGACTGAAACTGCTATTTTGTTTCCTCATATGCACACACTTAATGAACACATTAATCACCCATGCTAGTAATATTTTTTGAAACTAATCCATTCAATTATGCTCAGTGCCAAGTGTCCCGGCAATGCAACAAAATAGGAAGGCTGTATATAAGCATCACATCAGTAATGCAAATTTATGTTTTCTTTTAACTACAGCCATTCACCAATCTTTTTTAAAGGCACAGATCACCAGACGGTCACTCACAATTTAAAATTAATGTACAGCGGCAATTGGAATTTCAGATGCCATGCAGCTCACTCCTAGATCTCAAATTTACATAGTTTGCACCCACCTATAACACGAACCGAGTCGGCACCAATTTGGTTGCCAAAGAAAGCTAGCTGGATTGGGACTTCCGCTAACAGTCAATGAAGGCTTAATTCTAAAGCAGGTATACCTTGTTTCTCGGATTCCTCAACAACATCCATCCGTTCAAGAGTCTTGTAAAAAATATCTGGCTTTGGCTTGTTCTCCGTTAGTTCAAGAACTGCTGTCAGGTTTTCGGAGGCCATCTCAAAGAAACGTTGCTTCAGATTGATGCTTGTGATCCGTTCAAACTCATAAAAAATCTGAAATAAAAAAAGTTTACCTTTAGTCAACCTATAAATCATAAACTACCCTGTAGAAAAGCAGGAGGCAAGTAAAAAAGATTCCCATTTTATTATGAAACGGAATCATAATTGCAAAGGTGTCAGTGAATTAAAGACTCGTGGTGCTTGCTTTTGCCATAGAGGTAGTGCCAGTTAAAGGCTATGGAATTGTTATCAGCTTTCTGAAAGTAATTAGTTCCAAGCACATTTCATTATGCTTATGATCACATTTAGCTTCGCCCGTGCTTCAACAAATGCTGATAATACTTCAAATAAACAAATACATAAAAACAAGTATGAAGTACCAAGATTCGCCACATAAACCAGACTAACGCAGAATGCGTACTGTTTTTGGTTGGCCAGTTTCGATCAGAGGCATCTTTGGCAAGTTAGGATATTGATGAAATTTGTTTGAGAATGAGACATGAAAATACAACACATACTGCACCACTCAACTTTATGCAAATTGTCCTTTTAGTGCACGATATGTTGCTTTTTACTTCATCTTCTGCATGGTCCTCTTTTCACCTTTTGTTACCTTTTCCGCCTTCCTACGCAGTTTCAAAGATTCCTAACCAGGCTTTCCAAGGCGTGACAGTGCTGTGATAAGACCCTGCAGCTCATTAACTACTGTGTCTAGGGATTACATACAATTGGTGCTACTTCTCTTTTTGGTGGCCACAAGAGTATTATAAAGATTGCAGTTTCCAAGACAGCAAATATTAAAAGTAAGGACACTGAAAATAAAGAACAAATTTCTTTGGGATAACATTATTCACTGCAATGGACGTTAGGCAGACAGCGTTAGCCAATAATCAGTAGACTACAGTAGTCAACTGATTTTTCGGACAAGTCCAATTATTCAGCTCACACCATAGAGTTAATGCGTACCATTGCCTCGATACTACGTCCTACGTAAAAAACAAGGTGGGTTCAGGTTATAGTCTGGTTCTCCGGTACCGCTACTGCCAACATTACCAGCCCCTGCCCATTTTTATAGTTCTCCTCAAGCGCCGCAAACATATATGCGACAGAGTACGACCGAGAGAGACCAGACCGGTTTTTAAGCCTCTTACGACGTCTTAGGACCGGATACGCTGCAGCAGAGCTGGTCCTAAGACTTCGCAAGAGGCGTAAAAACCGGTCCGATTTTTCCAGTCTTACTCTGTCGCAAGAATGAATGGGCCTTCATGGTCCAAGTTTTTTTAGTGTGAAAAGAGCGGCCGTCTGCCATTTTTGTGGTCTTGAGTGCAAAGGTATTTTGCCGATAGGCTCAGTATTAAAGCAAGCTTGGTGGACTAAACATTGTCTCCAAATAGTGCCAACTTCAACTTCCCCGTTTGTGCCAACGAAGGCGCCGACAAAGCGCATCACCTTGATCAAACAGATCAACAAACAAGGAAAAAGTGAATATAAAGCAAAAGTTGCAAGAGAGCTTATATTTGACATCAAGCAACTGGAAAGTGGCTAATATGCAATGAAAAATGCATGGAAATTTGACATTTTGGCTGAAATCCGATGTCTGCCCGCTTGATCCAGACAATTTTGGGGTCCCCCCAGAGTCAAAGAATGGTTGGCAATTGTTATTACCTAAAATCCGTTCACTATTCAAATATTTGTTTCAGCTGGTGCATTCTAATTAGAAATTTCTTGCTCGTCGACAAAGCATGCCTAGCAGATGTGAAAATTAAGAACACAAAATTCTTCCCTGCACTGTTCTTTGTCAAATTTAAGCTGTGAGCAAACAAGATACCGAAACAACATACAAAAACAGGCAGCGGCAGAGTTCAGCTCGGAAGCAACATCAGCCTTCGCAGCGGAAGCGGGTTGCTGAGCTGATAAGGGTCGCATGGCCATAGAAAAGGGGCACCCTACTCTAATGTCTCCTCTGTCACTCAGCTTTCTGTGCAAAGCAGAATTTAGATGTCAAATTTTAAGGATCACTATGGCATATTTTGACAACAGGCAACAGATTTTAACTGGAATCTGGTATGTGAGGTCACATTTGGGTGTTATAGCTTTTGAGCTCTCTGCTTTGCCTGGATTCAAAACTCACTCGGAACCACCGAGGCAACATCTGCCAGGTGAAGCAAAATATTTAAAACATTGATTAGCGGATTTTAGGTCCTCAATTTTCTCAATAAACTCCACGATGTCTGCTCTGGAGGATACTGTGTATACTCTAGTAATAGCTGCACTATTTATGAAGAAAACCTGAGGGTTCACTTTTCTGCAAAGCATGCAGATTGTCAATCACCACGATCGACAGCATGATTCCAGGTGTATACAGGACAGAGATAATGTCTTCGCAAAGATACCATTTGTTTGGAGAATAGTGTTCTCGATCTTGTTAATCCCTGTTATTTATGTACACCGTAATGATTAGCTGTACATGCGTTCTGTGGGAAAGTAGATGCAAGGGCCTTCTTCATATACAGCGCGGCTATTACTCGAGTAAATACGGTAAAGTCGTCCCAAAAGAATCATCTCTCCATTTCCAGTGTCCTCTTTCCTTATTTGCTGTCTTAGGAAGAAACACCCACTTAATAGCTAGAACACTTCTCCTAGGCACTCGGACAGCACAGGGCAGAGCATTAGACTACTGGGAGAGAGTTTGGTGGCTCGATTCCTGCAAAGGGACAAAGGAACTTTTGTAAAGAAACATGGCCATGTTATGTTTCCGTTACAACCCATCGTGATGCTTGAGACCTAGAAGCCAGCCCTAAATGCTTTGTACGTTATTAATTAAAAAGCAAGTAGACTTGATGGCACTAAGCGAAATATTACCTGCTGTTTGAGCTTAAGGGCCGGATAATCCTCCAAGATGTCCGAGATTGAGGCGGCCGAGCTGACAAGCTCTCTCCTTGCTTGGAATGTCCTTCCCATGGCGTCGTTTACAATTTCCTTGTCGGGGACCTGTTTCTTCAACTCTCTTTTCATGGTGTTCACGTGGCCAGCGACGCTATGTCGATCCTCTGACACGTCCAATGCTCCAAACTGTGCACACTTGCAAGCAACAAACAAACTTGTTCAATAAATCTGCTCATCACCCCCCGTCGAATTTTCTTTCCACTTGGCCTTATGTTGCAGGCAAATTATTGGTTTGGAGCAGCCACTGACGATTTTGGAACAGATGCCAATATTTGTTAGCATATCATTTGGAAATAAGAAGTTATTGTATCTCTAAATTAGTTCATCTGTGGTAATGATTGATTGTTCCTCTTTGAAACAGGAGCATTTTACAAATTACGTTTGCTGATAACAGTAGATAGGATGCAAAAGTAACACTGAGCCTTTTTTTTAAGAACTACGGCTCTGTTCAGAGTAGGTTCCATTTACAATGGGTACTTAAAAACTGTCAAAAAAATTATGTCCGCCTTGTCGATGAACTCTTTCTCAAACGATGCGCTTGCACCGCCTGTGGCAGCCTCTCCATGCCTCACTGGAACCCCTTTCTGGTGGTGCCTCGCACCCATGAGACAACCACTTTCAGCTTATCAATGAGCCAAAAATGATGTCTTCACAGGGTTTTGTTCATACCGCCTAACAGGTGATAACCACTGACGGCACAGTCAGGCCATAACCATGCACGACTTAACATTGAATGGTCGTACATTTTGTCCAAAGATGGCCACACCCCATTGCCAGTCTAGCATGGCATCGTGTGCATTCTTGTCAAGCCGGAATCGGCTGGCATATAATCGGGTTTGGCCATCTTTCTGACATGTAGTACAACCAGCTGGACATTTGGTCGTGCATTGCTATGGCCTGACCGTGCAGCCAGGAGCTACGACCCTTTCGGTGGCATAAAAAGCCTGTGAGGATGCCATATCCTGAACATTGATAAGCCGGAAGCAATTGTCCAGGCTTAAATGGGAGGCACAAAAAAAGAAAACTTTCCAGCACGGCATGGAAAGGCTGCCACAGGTGGCACTAGGGCATTCAGCTTAAAGGGGTCATAAAACGCTTTTCAAGCTTACTTTTTCCTGTTTAGCTTTCCTCAACTCATAAATCGTGCAGTCTACCAAACTGTTCAAGACTAAAAGAGGGGAGTCCCCTCTAGCTCGGAATCTCGTTTGTATAGCTGGACAGAGCCATTCTCCCCCTAGAAGATTAGCCCAGCGCTAAAAATTCAGACAAAAGTTGCATTCCCCACCGCATTCACCCCAAAGTTGACAGTGTTGTGGAAGCTATGTGCTCGTTGGGCCAGGCACACTTGCCACGTGATCACGCTCTCTCGCACAGAGAATGAGGTCTGGTGATGAAAGGGAGGCGGCTGATTGGTCGGGCAAGCGCATAGCTTCCACTGCAATGTCAGCTTAGTGGTGAAGGGAATAAGTAAGGTCCGGTATCGGTTGACATGCGTTTGGACCCGGTGACACGCTATGGTAACCGCGGATGTAGCACAGTGAAAAAGGCAGAAAGCTTACGAAGGTACGAAATAGTCCGCTGTGTTTTCAAATTTTCTCACAGGAAGTCAGGCTTTTGACTTTCTACCTTTTTTTCTTTTGACCCACTGAATGATGTGCTATTAGTAAAATCCCAATCTAGAGTGATTTATACCAGCCGAAAATAAATATTTGAATTGGTCCCATTTAACCTTAAAATAAAGTGTCATGGAAAATTTTCATTGCATGTGTGCAATGCCACACAGAAGCTCAGAATTATTGTGAATATGAATAAGTATGAGGCATCTGTGTTTAGATTCCTATGTCACAGGGCAGAGAATGGACAAGAATTATGTGCGTCCCGCTACACACTTAGTGCGAACAAGCCATCACCTGTTTTCATTGTATTCTTAGTATTGTAGGCTCAGTAGAAACACTAACCTACTATAAAATACCGGGCAAGCACCCACTCAAACTTTGGAGATAATCGCAAAGAAATAGGGGATGAGCCGTATGTACCGTGCTTATTTTTGAGATTTTACAAATTTGGGAGTGGGCGCTTAGTGTGGAATGGGCGGACACTCGGTATTCTATGGCAAGCCGTAAATTTTGATACCAGGCAGTACACCTTCCAAGTAAAATGCGAAAAACCGCCGAAGTTGTGTTCGCACTAACAGTGTCGCAAGGTGTACAAAATTTAAGAACCCTCCCCCCACATACCACCGGTGTCCTGTAGCAACGGCGAGGGTCGGAAACATCAGCCACAGCTGTAGTACCCTTGGAGCTCGTTGCTCCGTTGTTGGGAAGAATCCCAAGTCCTTGCAGCTTCCGCCGCTCGTACTTCGCTTTAAAACGAAGTGAACGGTGCCAGGAGTCCTAGAATGTTCAGGATCATTACTGAGCACTAAGAGATATTCACATGTCATGAAAAACACTTACATATCCTGTACCAATGCTGTCCCGAAGGTCGGGATGCTTGAGGATGAGCTGCCGTGCTGCCTCAGCGTAGAGCCTTCCAGGATAACTGAAAAGTTTCACATAAAATTCTCAGTGCCATAACCTTGATGTATGTCTCGGAGTTAACTTACAGACTGTACTCGCATAAAAGGTGATATATCCATTGGATTATTCTTTTTCTGAGTGTATTTGTCAGGCAGGCCTTGTCTTTCTGGGCTTTCAATGAAAGAACAATGTCTAATGGGAAGTCTGGAAGGACAAACTCCAACTCCGACCGCACAGTTTGCACCCCTTCTGTGCCATTGTTTGAAACCACAACACTAGATGGTCTGAAACAGAAAAAGACCTATGAACATCTGCAAACTCTGGTCATTGTAATTTATCAGCACTGTTAAAATCAAAGAACATAAGCTTACTCTGCTTCAATCCCAGGGGGATTTCTCTTTTGAACCAACAGGATTTTTCCTTTATCTTCTAGAACTGCTCCGCAGTCGTAGTCCACATAGGCTTCGAAGTCCTTGTCAAACACCTGATGGCGAGAGTACACAGAGGATGTAGTAAACATTGCTATCCAGTTATAAACATAGTCGTGAAGGGGGGCGGAGGTAAATTAAAGAAATAAAAGTGCAAGAGCTCTTTCATGAGCAGGAAATGGTTATGTGGGCTGTCATCAAGACATTGTTTGCCTAAGGTGGGCTGCTTCAGACGGGGTTTCCAGCAATTTCGAGGTTGCTGGTGGGTTGCTCCCTAGCTTCCCCTATATCTACACGCGAGCAGCCCTGACAACTCCGAGACTTTTGAAGTGGCAGCAGCCGCTTCAAACGTCAAACAAAAAATCTTTTATTAATGTAGATGCATAGCTGAAAGTCTGCCATGCATTATAAAGCTGTTTATATTTTCACAAAAGTCACGTGAAAATCCCCGTAAGGGGAAGTATGTTGACAAAAAACATGAAGATGAGAAAATCGAAGTTTTGACATTGAACATAGAAAATTGTGTGGAGAATGAAAAACAGCAATTTTCGTGATGGTGTTGTGTAATTCTTCCTGAACAACTCGACATAAAAAATGTAATCCATTGATGGCATGGGCGAAGTTGTCGAACACGAACTTGATCCAGTTGCTTCTATCAGCGGTAGAGCGAGTTGCGGCATCGGCGAAGGCTTTCGTCGATGCGGCACGTCTCCTCGTAGTGTTTAGCCTCTGCGTGTTGACTTTCAAACTGGCGTCCCCAGCCATCGAAACTCAAAGCGCGCAGAACTAAACAAGCAGGAAAGCAAATATACGCGAAAAAGGAAAGCTAAACAAAGAGGTATCAAAATATTTACACGAAGGACGCAAAGACAGGGAACATACGAAACACTAGGAAGCAGGCAGAAAGAAAACCCTGAAATTATCGATATAGAAAGCTGAGAAATGCGAATATAACATGTCTCGAACGGCGAAGCGAGCGAAAGCAGACGACGCGGGAGCCCGCGGAGCGGCTGGGACGCCGCGCCGGGGAAGCCAGGAGAGGGGGCGCGCGTCTCGGTCAATGAGAGAGCTGCGCCTCGGAGGAGCGCGCGCTTTGCCCAATCAGCGCATTTCCAGCCCTCGGGAAAGATAAGCGCGGGAAACTAGCTTCCGAACAAGACTAAAATGGAGGTCAGACGCTTGAACTTCCAGCCCTCGGGAAAGATAAGCGCGGGAAACTAGCTTCCGAACAAGACTAAAATGGAGGTCAGACGCTTGAACTTTGTCGACATTTCAGAGTTTAGGCTACAAGTCGGGTCCGTCAACGCTTACAAATTGTCACTTTTTCTATTTAGAGACCGAATTGAGCATTTATATTTTGTGAGGATATACTCTATTTTGAAAAATTGAATTTTTCGCGATCTTTTTTTATATGTTGATTTGCGTCTCACACTCCCCCGTGATACTCGCACCCTCCGAAAAGGGTGACCCGACGCGCAATACAGCATCTCGACGCAAAAGGTTACAAGGGGCACACGAAAACACACCGACACTTCTGCGTTCGCATACCAAGATGTTTAAAAAAAACAAGTCATCCTAATTTTATGTCTAAAATATAAAAGCAGAGCAATTGCCAACTTACCTGAATCAATGTAGAGTTAATGTCAACATCCGGAAACTTTTCACGTATTGCTTGCCTCAGTTCACTCTCGGCACACTTCTCTTGCAGGTCGATTACTCGATTATGTTCTTCGAACGCAACGAGTAGGCGCATAGTTCCTCCTAAACAGGCGTTGGGACCTCTCGAAAAAGCTGCCCGCTCCTCGGCTGTGGCAACAACGACGGCGACAACGATGGCGACAACACAACACAACAACGGATACCGACTTTCCCGCCCACCGTGTTCCCGCCTTTTTCGCTTCCTGCGGTTCTCCAGTTTCTCGAAGGACGCGACAACGACGGCGACAACGATGGCGACAACACAACACAACAACGGATACCAACTTTCCCGCCCACCGTGTTCCCGCCTTTTTCGCTTCCTGCGGTTCTCCAGTTTCTCGATGATCATGACGCGGACTACGCGGCTGCCGCGGCGCAGTGGCAATGGCGTCCTCGCTTTTTCGAACATTGAGGGACGTTAGGTGGAAAGAGAGGGCCAATTGCGTACGCGCACGTAGACCCTAGCAACAGCGCTCACGCCGGATTGGCTGACGCTGACGCCGTCTACAGGTCTACATAGGCAGCCGTTTGAACGCAGCAACGCAGCGTCTTAATCTTTTTTTTTTTTTTTTAGCATTTGGCAATATTTACATTTCTTTTTTACGACTAACATTGAAAGAAATGAATGTTGACGATGAAACTGCGCTGAACTAAATGGTATGGACACCTCGCCGACCTCTTCTAGATGGATATATAATAATGGCTATACCCTTTGTAACGGGCGGCAGCTTGCGCTACCTAGCCTAACTTGCGCCGTTGTCTGATTTATTCCCATTTTACCGAGCGCGCTACGAAGTGCTGTATCAAAGCAAATTAATCGTTTTAGAGGCTTTCTTGCGTGTCTTGTCTCGAGAAGGCGTACGCTAACTACAAGCACTAAATCGCCTTAAACTGGTGGTAATATTGTGTGCCCCGCGCCCCGCTTCATGTGTATTGTGTACGTTCCAGGTTTGCGTTCGCGTGCGGGGCTGTATTTCATCTGTCGTTGTTTACTCTGAAAGTTCTTTCGTGTAAGCAGCTGCCATGCCTGTAATATACTGCCCCCTCTGCCCCTTCTATGATGTGAAGTTTGTACGAGTTGTGAATCACGTAGGTCAGGTCCATGCAAGTGCACACAATTTCAAAGTGACCTGTGGTTTGGACAACTGCGTGAAAGTATTCAGCTGCTTCCAGACCTATAGGAGGCACCTTTACCGGAACCACAACATGCTCGACACCGAGTTCAGCTCGGATGACGCAGCCCAGTCAACACCAAGTGCCAGTGCTTCAGCTACAAACTTTGATGAGGGCACCGAGCCTATTACACAGCCTTGTGACAGCGCAAAGCTCGAGAAAGAGACGCGGCCATTTTTGGAGGTGAAAAGGACATTATTGCTTTTCCATCTCAAGATGACTGAAGGCCTGAAGCTGCCTTATAGTACAGCAGATACTATTTTTGGAATGGTTAAGCTGTTGCTTTCTGCAACCCTCAAGGAGTTTGCAGAGGAGGTCAACAAGAAGCTGGCGACTCTCAAGGCTGATCTGCCATGCTCTGACATCAACACACTGCTTCAAACAGAAGGCCTAGTGGATGTTCTGTTTTCTGGAATCCAAACCAAACACCAGCGAACAAACCTTGTCAAAAAAAGCCTTCCGTACACCGAAGCAAGAGAAATTCAACTGCAGCAAGGCGGGGCTCCAAAAAGATCTTTTCAATATGTGCCCATTCAAGACGTACTCCAAAATCTGCTCACCTGTGACGACATCTACGAAAGTGTGGAACAACCTCCTAGCCAAAGAGAGGACGGCATGTTGAATGATTTCAGCGATGCCAACTTCATCCGAGAGCAGCAGAAAAAGGTACAACTTGCTGGAGACCAGCAAAGCACCATTTTTCTTCTTCTTTACACCGATGAACTGGAACTGAACAATCCACTGGGATCTGCAGTAGGTAAACACAAAATTCTCCTTGTCTACTTCAGCATCCTGAACATACACCCACGGCACCGTTCCAAGCTGAGCTCTATACATCTGCTCATTATTGCCCGATACTCGACGGTCACGGATTTTGGGTTGAAGGTCCTCTTGGAGCCGCTCATTAAGGATCTCAACATCTTGAGGACACACGGGTTTAGAATGCACAACAAAGCATTTAAAGTATGCGTCGTTGCAGTGGTTGGCGACAACCTTTCACTTCATCGTCTGGCTGGCTTAACGTGCTCCTTCAGTGGCGGGCGTGTGTCCCGCTTCTGCTTAGCAAAGTATGAAGATTTACGCGATCTTGTCCTTCCTACCCAATGTGTAGCAAGGTCGGGTGCATCTCATGCCAGTCACCTGGCTGCATTTCTCCTGGATCCTGCACGCAATGGTAAGATCTACGGCATCACAGGTCCGTCCCCACTTGCGTCTTTGGAGGGGTTTGACATCATGAATCAACTACCCCCAGATGCCATGCATGATGTCCTGGAAGGTGGGATTGCAGTTGTGGTCAAGGCCGTACTGAAGGGTCTCGTAGATTCAAAGGTTATCAAGAAAGACGACTTGAATCGCATTGCTCAGTTTTCCTACGGACAACATGACAAGAAGTCGAAGCCTGTGTTTGATCCCGACAAGTTTTTGGCTCCATCTGGCAACTTGAAGGGGACCGCTTCCCAGAAATTGTGCCTTTTTCGACTGTTGCCTCAGATTCTTGGAGACTTGATTCCACAGAATGATAGCAACTGGAATGTGTACACAGCGTATCGGCACATTGTGGACATAATTCTCTCGGATACAATGCCAAGGGACTGTGCTGCATACCTCGAAGTAAAGGTCTCGGAGTTTCTCCGCCTCTTCACAGAGCAGTATCCAGACAAATCCGTGACCCCAAAGCTACACTACCTCCTACACTACCCCAAGTATATCTTGGAATTTGGACCACCCCGCAGATACTGGGGAATGAGGTTTGAAGCCAAACATTCTTATTTTAAAGGACTGGCATCAAAAGTAAAAAACCACAAGAACATCTGCAAGACCTTGTGTCAGAGGCACCAACTCCTGCAGGCGTACCAGATATCTTCTGCTACACTGAGTCAGCCTATTGATGTGTCTGGAGTGGCCGTCGTGAAAACCGCATCACTTCCTGAGGAATTTGTGGTTTTGCTTCCCCAAGGTTTGAGAGAATTGGATTCTCTGAGCTCTGTCAAGACAGCTGCTTTCAACAACTGCAGCTACAGGGTTGGCGATGCATTTGTTCACTCAGTCGATGATGGCAACCCTAGTTTTGCTGAAGTGCATGGTCTTTTCGTTGCCAGTGGAACGTTGATCATAATGGCAAAAAAGCTCGCCACTGTTGAAGTTTCAAAACACAGATGTTCCTACATCGTCCTGCGTCGAGATGATGCAATGTGTGTAATACCGAACTTCCAATTTGACTATTATCCACTGGACCTTTACCCATACGGCAGTTTTCTCGAGGTTGTGCCTCATTACGAGATATTTGTGTAATCGGGATGTGGACTGCATGTGAAATGGTTGTGTTAAATACATTTGCATATTGTTTTTTTCTATCCTTTTTGTGAAATATATTTATGCTTGAAAACATTTTGCATTTCCTCTTAACATTTATTAAAAAAATGACAAAGGAGAAATTTATAGAATTTAAAGTGAAGTCAATGGATGTTATTAAAAGAAAATAGGGAAATGAAGAATAAATAGTACTGTATTAAAAATAAGGTGTGAACAAAAATGATCTCTCTTAAGTCGTCTGCCTCAGCTACCTACCTTCTCTACCAAAAACAAAACAAAAAAAGCTCTACCATACAATACGATAGTTGCAGCACTTGACATGCACATAGATTTAAAGAGCGGTCTGAAGGTCCTAATTGTATAAAGAAGTGCAAACCAATTAGATATTGGGTGTTTATATTTTAAAGTAACTGAGACTGCAAAATGCTCCAGCTAAGTAATGGTAAATAATCTAATGAACCTCTAGGATCTTGAACCTCCACAGAAGTCGCACTGATTGGACAGATCTTTCAAGAGGTTCTTTCTTAAAATATTCCATCTTGTGCCTCCACTTTATGGAGACAATTTGGTCAACGCAGTGTAACAGCGAACTGCTAGTTCTGTTGGCAATGAGTTTTACGAATGACATTTCATGAACAGATTGTTTCGTCAACATGCGACGTTTTATCAACACGTTTCGTCGAAAGATGCCCTGGCATGCTTTATGACACATTCTGTGACGTTCCGTGCACATCGCATTGGCTGTCAGTACACTGATCGTAGCGTAGCTTGCCGAACCCTGGGCGGTTCTGATTGGGCTAGGCACAAGCTTGAGCCTGAAATTGTAATTCGTTTGCCCCAAGTGAAGTAGAGCAAAACAAAGATGCCCTGGCATTAATCCCCCCTCTAAAAACTCATCGTCCTGATGTGCTCTAGAGCAAAATGAAGAAACTGAATTGCAGACTACACACATCTGTAAAACACAGTCCTAACAAGCGTAGCCTGGGCACACAGTTCAGAGTCCTATCAAATGTAGTATGGCTTGAGGCATACGACACGGACTACTTTGGGTCACGGGTGGCGCCGTCTTGATGGTCGAGTTCCGTCGGGAAGCACCTCATTGGTTTAAAGGGATGCTGAACCGAAATCTGGATTCCACAAAGCATGGCGGCAAAAGCGTGCAACGGGATGCTACAAACATCAAAACATGGCAAGCGGATTAGGAGAGAAAACACTGTAAAATATCTCGGTGTCATTATCAACAACAGAGTAAACTGGCAACCTGCTGTAAAAAAAGTCTTATCAGAGTCTGAAAAGCTTCTCGGTGCAATCCAACGCATCGCCGGTCGTGACTGGGGAAGCAGTCAAAATACAATGCTGAGCCTTTATAGGGGACTTATTGTAAACCGCTTCCTCTACGCTCTCCCTCTTCTGACAACATCAAACGCGCAATGGAAGAAGCTCGAACTCTTTCACAGGAAAGCTTTACGCATATGCTTGGGCCCCCTGCCTACCTACACTAATAGACCCCTTCAGAAATTCAGTGCCATCTGGTGGTTCGTAAAGCAGTTTAGGTTTTGCCCTATCAATGGCGGAAATGAACTTGTATCGGCACGGTGGCAATCAGTTCGTCGAACGACGTTTCATGGACAAACCGTTTCGTCGACACTGCGATGTTTCATCGACAGATCGTTTCGTGGAAACAAGCACCCGCTCGTTTCATCGACAGATGTTGCGACGTTTCGTCGACAGCTCGCTCGCCCAGCTCCTGGCTCCGCCAGCTGCACCTCCTCGCGACCTCTGCGCCT